TACAGTCCTAGATAAAGTTAAATAACATAGAATAACATGCGTCAGACTGGACCGGTGTGTCGCCAATATTGGGTCTCAAATCCAGCCCAAGTCAGTGTGTACTTCCCTAATTGCACTCACCTAATTGTGGTTGCAGGGGCCGATCCGTAGCTCCTGGCCCTGGATCTTTATTGGTCGTTGCTAGGTCACTCCCTGCTCCGTGAGCTTTATCAATCCTCCTCTTAAAGGTATGTATGGATCCTGCCTCCATCACCTCCCTTTCCAGACTGTTCCGTTTACAACTCTATGACTGAAGTAAAATTTCCTAACATCCCTGTGGCTCATTTGAGTCTTCAGCTTCCAATTTTGACCCCTTGTTGGTATATCCCATCTCTGAAACATCCTGTCTCTGTCCACCTTGTTGATTCCTCTCAATATTTTACATGTTATCATGTTCCCCTCTGTCTCTCCTGTCCTCCAGTGGCGTCAGGTCGATTTCCCTTAACCTCTCCTAGTAGGATATGCCCCTTAACTCCGGGACTAGTCTTGTTGCAGACCTTTGCGCTTTTTCTAATTTCTTGACATGTTTGGCCAGGTGTGGGTTCCAAATTGATGCTACATACTCCAATATGGGCCTGACGTACACGGTGTACAGAGTCCTGAAAGACTCCTTACTGAGATGTCGGGATGCTATTCTTAGGTTTGTGTGTGTGTGTGTGTGTGTGTGTGTGTGTGTGTGTGTGTGTGTGTGTGTGTGTGTGTGTGAGTGTGTGTGTGTGTGTGTGTGTGTGTGTGTGTGTGTGTGTGTGTGTGTGTGTGTGTGTGTGTGTGAGTGTGTGTGTGTGTGTGTGTGTGTGTGTGTGTGTGTATGCGTCTGTGCGTGCGTGTGCATATGCGTGGAAATGTGCGTAAATGTATATAAATGAGTGTGTGTAAATGTGTGTCTCTAAGTTCATTTTTTAAGTTACGAGTGTTGGATACATCCTCAATGTTCTGCTACACTAGTCTGTATAACAGTCATACACGGGGAAACAGCTAATTGTGTTTCACTGTAATTTTCCATCAGGCACAATGGAATTCATATACAGTGTGAAATTTATCATAAGGGCCATGTCAGAGTGTGCGTGGGAGAGGGGCTAGGTATGTCAGTGTGTGTGTGGGAGAGGGGCGAGGTATGTCAGTGTGTGTGGGAGAGGGGCGAGGTATGCCAGTGTGTGTGGGAGAGGGGCGAGGTATGTCAATGTGGGTGGAGAGGGGCGAGGTATGTCAGTGTGTGTGGGAGAGGGGCGAGGTATGCCAGTGTGTGTGGGAGAGGGGCGAGGTATGTCAATGTGGGTGGGAGAGGGGCGAGGTATGTCAGTGTGTGTGGGAGAGGGGCGAGGTATGCCAGTGTGTGTGGGAGAGGGGCGAGGTATGTCAATGTGTGTGGGAGAGGGGCGAGGTATGTCAGTGTGTGTGGGAGAGGGGTGAGTTATGTCAGTGTGTGTGGGAGAGGGGCGAGGTTTATGTCAGTGTGTGTGGGAGAGGGGCGAGGTATGTCAGTGTGTGTGGGAGAGGGGCGAGGTATGTCAGTGTGTGTGGGAGAGGGGCGAGGTATGTCAGTGTGTGTGGGAGAGGGGCGAGGAATGTCAGTGTGTGTGGGAGAGGGGCGAGTTATATCAGTGTATGTGGGAGAGGGGCGAGGCATGAGTATTGTACAGAATTATCATACTGCTTGTTCGTATTGTGGTGAGAAGAGAACCATGGATCATGAATGCTGTAACTCCATGTTATTAAATATTTACCGTATTTCGCGGCTTATTAGACGCAATGTTTTTTTCAATAAAATGTCTCCAGAAACCCCCCTGCGTCCTATAAACTGAAGGTGACTGACGGGAGCTACAAGGTTGGGGTTTCCTGTAGCTCTCCCAGTTACGTCCGATTCCGAGCTATTGAAATTAAAATAATGTCTTATAAGTCGCGTCTTATAAGTCGCGTCTTATAAGTCGCGTCTTATAAGTCGCGTCTTATAAGTCGCGAAATACGGAATATAAAAAGAGACGAATGCATCCTTCCCTCTCTTGTCAACCAGAGATAATATAAGAAATAGTGTAACTTTTATGAAATTTCGCGTTATCTTTACTCCTCCATAACTTACTAAAATTACCGGGTTATGGAGATGCTTAGTTATAGAGGTACCAGAACATTTTATATACTCTAAGCTACGTAAAATGTGGTACAAGGATTTAAGCCTTGTTTGTAAGGGGTAAATTAGGATGTAGATATTCCAAGCTTCTCAAGGTCACCCACTATGTTAGAAATAAGGTATTAGTGACTGGTGGAAGGGATGTCATACTTGTAGATGACAGCCTTTAATCTGAAATAATCAGTTAAGACTCACGCCCATTTAAAAGTATTACGCATGTGTTTAGTAAGTCATTCTTATTTGTGCCAAGTGAGTGTTTTAGTGGGTATGAACTGTGGTGTTAATGATCATTTCATCTTATAAATAAATCTTAAAAGTCACTCTTATTTTCATAATTTACATAAATAACCATTATATATTGTGTTATATAAATTTGCTCTTATTGGTGTCGCTTTTATTGGTTTTAAGATTCTCACAATACTCCCTATCATGTTCCTAACCTATCATCTGCATTTGCCTCATTGTGTTCCTCAAATAATACACGATTTGCTATCATTATTCTTAAGTCTTTTACCTGTTCCTCTTATTCTATGATGTAGTATTACCAGTCTCAGCTCAGTGCCCTGAGCCTGGTAATACAATGGTAAAATATATAGCGTGCAAATATGTATTATATTAATGAAATGATTTCATCGTCGATGGATTTGATCAAACAATAAATTCTCTGGGATGCGAAACATTAATAAAATGCTGTGACTCGGCCACTGAATCACCATTGAATAACAAATTGCATAACTTCATTAACAATCAAATGTACCAATTAATCCAGTACGCATTTTATGCCCACCAAGCAAGGTTCCTTAACTGGTGGAAGAATTATGATCTTCGTCAGTATCTTAGGTTTCATTGGGACATTTCTTCTTTGGATGGTCAAGGATTGCAAAGGTTAACTACGAGCTTCCTTCTGTATTTTGCATGTATGGAGACACAAATTTAGTACTACTACTTTTCATTTGCCTTAAAATTGTGCCTAGCCAAAGAGCTGAGACTCTCGTTTCTTTGGTGGCTGGACAGAGTTAAGAGTAAATGTATATCGGATGCTGTGCGATCCGAAATACATTTTCTCTGTTTTTATGAGTGAGAGGGGTTGTATCTGAGTGGGACTTGTACATGAATTAACAGATTTATCAAAGCTTATTGGTTGGGTAGCGTTGAAAATGCGTTGGGCAAATATTCTGTTATTGGATTTGTGAAGGACCTGCCTAGTATGGGCCAATAAGCCTGCTGCAATGTTCCTCATTTCTTACGTTTCTTATGTTCTTATTCAAAGTTTATTCTCTATAAGGATTACAATGCTGAGTTTACAGAATTTGGTTATTGTGTGGTTTACATGTAGTAAAATAATAATTACAGAGTGTACCACTAGAACACCTAGCATGGCTAGGCATTTCGGGCAGACTTAAATTAAATCTTAAGTTTAAAATATTACAAAATTATGAGGTTAGTTGGTAATATGGCTAAGTGACTAAATACTAGTTTGTGAGTTTAGCAATGTGAATGCTTTTGTTTTGGCACTATACATAGTTTCAGTATTGGAGTATCACAGGCCAACTTATGAAAAGTTAAGATTCATTATTTTGAGATTGAGATTGATATTTCTGTTGAGACAGGTATCCATGTATCTCATAAGCCCAGCCCCCTCTACATCAATGCACGATAAAAAATAGTGGAGAAAAATACAACTCTCACGGATTTAGCGCTTCCCTATAAATATAATAACTTGCGACGAAGCTGGCATGGAAGAAAAGTTCTGGGTAAAAATCATAACTTCAGCAAAACGAGGTGGTGGAGTCTGAATTATTCCTTTCCAGTAAATAAACAAACCATGACATACACACACCTGAAGTCTTGTTGTCCTGCGTCACCAGAGAAGATATCAACCAGAGCTCCTGAAAGTGGAGTGAGAACAATAGCTCCCAGGCTGCCGGAAATTCGCTGGAGGCCGTAGTCACCGTTGTGCTCCCGTAGGATGGCTATTGTGGCACCTTTGAACAGTGTTTGACTTGCAACTATCGCGGGCAAAGTCAAAGAGTAAAGGATATCATGTTAGGAATCACTTTAAGTAACAGTAATAGACGATTCTGTTAGTGGATGAACAAATATAAATTTCACTGAAAATATGACAGGAGCCCTGGCACAAATTGTCATTTTACAGGTGCAAAGGAGGGTGGGGGGAGGAGATTGATCTTGATTTTGGTGAAGAATTTTTTGATTCAAAGAACTGAAGTTATCTTCTAAGTGAATCGAATCTAATTAATCCCTTCACTCCGGCAGGAGTGAGGGGCAACGAGAGACTAGCTCTCTTAAGGTTTACTATACAATTAGTGGGAATCTAAGAAATAAGGTAGATGAGATATGATTACTTGCAAGTTCAGGTAATATAGATATTATTGCTATAAAGGAGATTTGGTTCAACTTGAAAGATAGAGAAATGTCTTCTGAATGCCACATACTGGGTTATAAACTATTCCACACTCATAGGGTCAACAGGAAGGGTGGTGGAGTGGCGATGTGTGTGAGAGATAATTTAAATTGTTGTGTTAGACAAGATATGAGATTAGAAACATCGGACGCAGAATCTGTTTTGCTACAGTTTCTCGAAGGTCGTGAAAAATTAATTTTGGGTGTGATTTATAGGCCCCCCAACCCTTGATAGGGAGTGTGGTAGGCTACTATGAGACGAAATTCATAAGGCGTCTAGATATGAAAATGTTGTGATAATGGGAGATTTTAACTTTAGACAAAATGATTGGAACAATGTGACAGGAAATCTTGAGTCTAGTGACTTTCTTGATACGGTTCAGGACTTTTTTTAAAACAGTTTGTGACCGAACCAACTAGAGGAAACACCCTGCTTCACTTGGTTCTTGCCAACAAAGAATCACTAATTAATAATTTTGAGGTTAATGATGAGCTTGGGGAAAGCAATCACAAATCACTTAGTTTCAATATATCATGGAATTACCCAGATAACTGCAATCAAGTCTCTGTCCCAGATTTCTGCTTGGCCGACTTCATGGGACTGAGAAATTACCTGGGTGGGCTAAATTGGGATGACCTGACTATGGGTCAGGTAGGTAGAGTTGGTTGACAATGTGATGTGTTTCAGAGCATAGTTCTAGCTGCCCAGACAACTTTTGATCCGAGTAGGGAAATTAGATTTAACAAAAATGATCCCAAATGGATAAACAATAGATTAAAACATCTCATTGGTCAAAAGAGAGGCATATATAGGCGTATCAAAAGAGGGAAAGGGCAGTTAAGAAATCAATATATTACCTGGAGTTTATTCAATTAAAGAGAGAAATAAAAAAGGAATAAGAAAAGCATACAGGGATTATGAGGCTAAAGTCGCAAAGGAATAGAAGACTAACCCAAAAGAGTTATTTCAGGTATAAAGAAGTAAGATTAGGGACAAGATAGGCCCACTTAAGAGTAACTCTGGTCAGATCACTGACAGGGATAAGGAAATGTGTGAAATTTTCAATACCTACTTCCTCTCAGCTTTTATTCAGGAAGATACTAGCGATATTCCAGAAATAAAAATTATGTAGAACAGGACGATAATAAACTATGCACTATTAGGGTAACTAGTGGCATGGTCCTCAGACAAATAGAGAAATTAAAAGCTAACAAATCCCCAGGCCCTGATGAACTGTTTGCAAGGATTTTAAAGGAATGTAAAGAGGAACTTAGGACACCTTTGCCTAATCTTTTCAATATATCACTACAAAATGGCATAGTACCAGACAAGTGGAAAATGGCAAATGTAAAACCTATTTACAAGGCAGGTGACAGGCCCTTAGCTTCGAACTATCTCCATAGTTGTAAAATTTATGGAATCAATTATTGCCGAATCAATTCGTAGCTATCTTGAAAGGCTTACACTGATTAATGAATCTCAACACTGTATTACAAAGAGGCGTTCCTGTCTTACCAATTTACTAACATTTTTCACTAAGGTGTTTGAGGAGGTAGATCATGGTAATGAATATGATGTTGTGTATATGGACTTCAGTAAGGCTTTCGATAGAGTTCCACATCAGAGGCTACTGAGGAAACTTAAGGCCCACGGAATAGAAGGAGAAATTTTTTAGTGGGTAGAGGAATGGGTGACATATAGGCAGCAGAGAGTTTGCATAAATGGGGAGAAATCAGAATGGAGGCCCGTTACAAGCGGTGTTCCACAGAGGTTAGTGTTGGGCCCCTTGTTCACAATTTACATAACCTACATGGATGAGGAAATAAATGGCGACATAAGCAAATATGCTGATGACATCAAAATAGACAGTCCAATTCATTCTAATGAGGACATTAGAGCATTCCAGGATGATTTGAATGAACTGATGGAGCGGTCGGAGAAGTGGCAGATGCAGTTTAATATAGACAAATGCAAAGTTCTACATGTTGGACAGGACAATAACCATGCCACATATAAACTAAATAATGTAGATCTTAATATTACGAATTGCGAAAAGGATTTAGGAGTTCTGGTTAGCAGTAATCTGAAACCAAGACAACAGTGCATAAGTGTTCGCAATAAAGCTAATAGAATTCTTGGCTTCATATCAAGAAATATAAATAATAGCAGTCGTCAGATTGTTCTTCAACTCTATATATCTTTGATTAGGCCTCATCTTTATTACTCCGCGCAGTTTTGGTCACCGTATTACAGAATGGATATAAATGCTCTGGAAAACGTACAAAGGAGGATGGCAAAGATGATCACATGTATCAGAAATTTTCCCTATGAGGATAGACTAAGGGCCCTGAACCTGCACTCTCTAGAAAGGCGAAGAATTAGGGGGTATATGATTGAGGTGTATGAATGGAGAACAGGAATTAATAATGGGGATATAAATATCGTGCTAAAAATATCTAGCAATGACAGGACTCGCAGCAATTGTTTTGAATTGGAAAAATTCAGTTTCAGGAAGGATATAGGAAAGCACTGGTTTGGGTAATAGAGTTGTGGATGATTGGAACAAACTCCTGAGTACCGTCATAGAAGCTAAGACGTTGTGTAGTTTTAAAAATAGGTTGGATAAAAACATGGGTGTGTGTGGGTGGGTCTGAGTTGGACCTGACTAGCTTGTGCTACTAGGTGGGATGCTGTGCTCCTCCCTTAAGTGAATGTTACTGACCTGAACAGGCCAAGGAATTAGCTTAAGACTGTGGGAGAATTGGGCGTGCCTCGCATGAGCCAGTAGGCCTGCTGCAGTGTTCCTTCTTTCTTATGTTCTTATGTTCCTGTCATTCCCCAGCCACTCATGACTTGACAAGTTCACCGCTTCTCGTACGAAAGACATGCAGTTATCAAAACATTTATTGGTGTTACGTTTCACCCACACACTGAGGACGCGCTTCGCCCACTGGACAGAAGTCTCTGATGGACGAAACATATCCTCAGTAAATGTCTTGATAATGCACATGTGTCTTTCTCACGAACATTTGGCTCTTCCCAATGGTTAAAATATTAATAATTAGATGTATCTAGGTCAATGTGCAATCTGAGAAGAGTATTCCCTAGCTAGTAAGATCACAATACATGCTAAAAAATAACAAAGTGCTTTGTAGCATGACTCACGAAATTGTAATGATACGATTGCGGGTTCAAACCCCACCCGTGGTATGGTTTGTTTGCAATCGCGTCATTACGATTTCGTGAGTCATGTTGACGGGTTTGAGGGGACTTGAGCTAGAGTTATAGTATACTGGCGTTGAAATTTTGAAGCCAATCGGATAAGGTGTTCTCAAGTTACTAACGAATTACGAACCGGTCATCAAAAGACCCGTGTTAGGGCTCTATCCTGATAAATATTAAAACAATAACGAAAACCTTGGAAAAAACCCTAGGCATCAATTTAAAGTTACCCCTTTGGGACTATGTAATAATTTCTTACATTTACATACTTCATAACCTGTTCATTTAAAATAATAAACTGCATATTCTGCTCATTTCACTCAGTGAGGTAAGAAAAAGAGAATATAGTAGCTTCTAATGAGGATTCCGGCTCTAAGTTAGCATAGTTGTTAATAAGCTTCCGGATTCAGTGATATCCAATAAAGGTAATATTAAATTTTCATAATTCATATATCCGTTCATATTTTCGACCTTACCTAGCGTAATTCCGTTGATGAGCATCATAAGCAGGAACAACATGTAGGTGAGGACAGGACGAAATTCAAGAATGGTGTGGCTGTTGGAACACACCTGTTGACGAGGCACCAGCGCTAAGCACTGAGCGTAACATTCCTGCGCCTTACTGCTTGTGTTGGTCTTGCTGGTCCACCCTGATGCCTCACCACTCTGTGGAAACATCGCTAATGAATACTTTTGAGATTATAGATAACTTTTATGGATCCCTCTGTAGTGTGCTGCTGTTCACGTACACTGTACACCAGTAATCTCCAACCTTTTAGTATCAAAAGAGCCAATTTGCAATTCCAGATTTAAAGGAGAGTAGTATTTTCTAATTTTCGTAATTTTTTATGAATAATAACAGTATTTTCTAACTGTTGACACCGTGCAGTGTGGAATCTATATATAAGTGAATTCATAACTTCATGTGAGGGCCGCATCCACTTCCTAGAAGGGCCGCATGCGGCCCTCGGGCCGCAGGTTGAGGACCTCTGCGGTAGACACACTACCACAGCAATTACTTTGTTGATTTTCACCCCGGGAGACTTTCTCCTGATAAAGAACTTTCTCCTAACGAATAAAACTTTCTCCTGATGAAGGTTAATATATGGAGACAAACGGGTGCTTTCTCTTGACGAATAGGGACTCCAGACACAGACACCACCGCCAGTGTCTGGTCACCTCGTTGACACACCACCGCCAGTGTCTGGTCACCTCGTTGACACACCACCGCCAGTGTCTGGTCACCTCGTTGACACACCACCGCCAGTGTCTGGTCACCTCGTTGACACACCACCGCCAGTGTCTGGTCACCTCGTTGACACACCACCGCCAGTGTCTGGTCACCTCGTTGACACACCACCGCCAGTGTCTGGTCACCTCGTTGACACACCGCCGCCAGTGTCTGGTCACCTCGTTGACACACCGCCGCCAGTGTCTGGTCACCTCGTTGACACACCACCGCCAGTGTCTGGTCACCTCGTTGACACACCACCGCCAGTGTCTGGTCACCTCGTTGACACACCACCGCCAGTGTCTGGTCACCTCGTTGACACACCACCGCCAGTGTCTGGTCACCTCGTTGACACACCACCGCCAGTGTCTGGTCACCTCATTGACACACCACCGCCAGTGTCTGGTCACCTCGTTGACACACCACCGCCAGTGTCTGGTCACCTCGTTGACACACCACCGCCAGTGTCTGGTCACCTCGTTGACACACCACCGCCAGTGTCTGGTCACCTCGTTGACACACCACCGCCAGTGTCTGGTCACCTCGTTGACACACCACCGCCAGTGTCTGGTCACCTCGTTGACACACCACCGCCAGTGTCTGGTCACCTCGTTGACACACCACCGCCAGTGTCTGGTCACCTCGTTGACACACCACCGCCAGTGTCTGGTCACCTCGTTGACACACCACCGCCAGTGTCTGGTCACCTCGTTGACACACCACCGCCAGTCTCTGGTCACCTCGTTGACACACCACCGCCAGTGTCTGGTCACCTCGTTGACACACCACCGCCAGTGTCTGGTCACCTCGTTGACACACCGCCGCCAGTGTCTGGTCACCTCGTTGACACATCACCGCCAGTGTCTGGTCACCTCGTTGACACACCACCGCCAGTGTCTGGTCACCTCGTTGACACACCACCGCCAGTGTCTGGTCACCTCGTTGACACACCACCGCCAGTGTCTGGTCACCTCGTTGACACACCGCCGCCAGTGTCTGGTCACCTCGTTGACACACCACCGCCAGTGTCTGGTCACCTCGTTGACACACCACCGCCAGTGTCTGGTCACCTCGTTGACACATCACCGCCAGTGTCTGGTCACCTCGTTGACACACCACCGCCAGTGTCTGGTCACCTCGTTGACACACCACCGCCAGTGTCTGGTCACCTCGTTGACACACCACCGCCAGTGTCTGGTCACCTCGTTGACACACCGCCGCCAGTGTCTGGTCACCTCGTTGACACACCACCGCCAGTGTCTGGTCACCTCGTTGACACACCACCGCCAGTGTCTGGTCACCTCGTTGACACACCACCGCCAGTGTCTGGTCACCTCGTTGACACACCGCCGCCAGTGTCTGGTCACCTCGTTGACACACCGCCGCCAGTGTCTGGTCACCTCGTTGACACACCACCGCCAGTGTCTGGTCACCTCGTTGACACACCACCGCCAGTGTCTGGTCACCTCGTTGACACACCACCGCCAGTGTCTGGTCACCTCGTTGACACACCACCGCCAGTGTCTGGTCACCTCGTTGACACACCACCGCCAGTGTCTGGTCACCTCATTGACACACCACCGCCAGTGTCTGGTCACCTCGTTGACACACCACCGCCAGTGTCTGGTCACCTCATTGACACACTATCGCCAGTGGCTGGTCACCTCACTGACACACCACCGCCAGTGTCTGGTCACTTCATTCACACACCACCGCCAGTGTCTGGTCACCTATTATTAGATTATGTATTGTAAAATGCAAACATCTGCATAATGTCTGGCACAACCCTTACACCACCTGACTTCGAAGAAGCAAATGATAGCTTGCTCATGCATTCTACCCGTGACCCAGATTAATGGAACTCCGTAATCGTCAAGAATTGCAAAAAAAAAAAAAAAAAATACCTCAGGCCTTAAATATTCAAAGAAGATGGAGCCTGGACATACAATTCACCCTTCAGCTTTTAAAAACTACTGATAAATCCTACTCTTGGTGGCAGTAACAATTAACATTTTCCAAATCTCTGAAAATATTTTAAGATGTAAGATTGCTAATCACATGGAATCACAACACTGCACAAGCCAAGGCAAGACAAGTTTAGAGTAAGTCACTCCTGCTTCTCACAATTACTGAACTATTACGACACGGTCTTAGAAGCACCGGAAGATAAACAAAAGGCTGGTATAATGTACACAAACGGTGCAAAAGCCATCGACAGATGAGACTGTATCATCCTAACATTAAATGCTTGTAAAGGGAATAACTGGAAAAGAGGGCAGATGAATATTTAAAAGCCTAAGAAATTGAAGAAACCAAAGAGTCACAGTGAACAGAGTGAAACAGCTGCTGTTCCCTGAGAAGCAATGCTCACCACAATAAGCTTTCTCATTCTCATATCCATCACTGTCTTTTACTGACGATATTAGTATTTGAATTTGAATGAGACTTCCAAGATGATAAAAATAAAGACTTCAAATGCAGCGCTGATAGTAACAATGTTTAATGTGAGAGACTTAAGAGTGATAATGTCAAAATATCTCACACTCAAGAGCAATAACAATGTCACTCCCACAGCTATAAGATAATTAGATAACTAAAACTTTCATAATAAGAGACGCCAGGCCAATAATTTATAGTCTCTCTAGGCTAGAAAATTGTTATATACATAGAGCGTCTTCTAAGTCAGGAGAGACGGCAGAAATGGAGAACACAGAGAACCTTCACTTCCCGTATCATCTCGGTCAGACACATGAATTAATGAAAATGCTTAATGTCCCTCAAACTGTACTTCTTGGAACACAGGCGAGTAAGATATAGATAATAATTAACACCTAGAAATTTCTGCACGCAGAAATCACTCCCTCTGAAAGCAAGAGGCCTGGCAGACGGTGCAAAGTGCCCCATTGATAAGCAGAGGAGCAACGAGCACATTGCTAATCGATTCAGTAAAAGTAAAGGGACCAAGACTCTTACACGTCCTCCCTTCATGAATAAGAGAATTACTAAGAAAAGCCTAGCTCTGGTCAAGAGGGACCTTGGAAAGAATTTCAAATCATCTCCTGATCAGCCAGGCAGTGGACATACATTGTTCTGCTCACAGCTTGTACCAACAGCATGGTGAAACAGTCCAGCAACCACGAGGCCTGGTCTGGGATCAGGCCGCAAGGCCATCCCAGAAATCGTCTACAGGTAACCTCAGATAGTATTTTCCGCGAAACAACTTAAGAATGCCTCTTCTGAATGGCATCAGTCACAAAAGTTTGGTACAACTTATGTGCAGGATGGTGAGTAATAATTTAATCTTCTAGATGCAAATTTCTCAGTTTTAAGAACTTTAAGATTCCGAGCAAACACTTGAGAACGATTCATTTGGTCGGAGTCAAACTTTTAGGGACAGTGCACTGTGATTAAAGAAAGTTCATATTAATATTGGCCTGCATAAATTTAAATTTGCTATTTTTAACTAAGTAAACTTATTACTGTACAGTAACTGAGGAATAATTTTTTTGACAGAGTAAATCTTGAATTTTATTCCATGTTAATACGATTATTTTGTAAATTATTTTTGGTTGTGTATGAGGCAAACTGATATAATTTATCTGCGACTTCAATAATTATAATCCATATGCACTCGATGGGATTTAAACTTAAGAAATTAACTAACATAAATTATATAACGGCTCGACAAAGTTCCTGGAGAGCAAAACGCTGCCACAGTAAAACGTCACATTAGCTGCAGGTGTAGCCTTTTACCTAACAGGAATTACATAAGATATTGTTATTATATTCACATGGAAACGCTAACCCCGTAGGGGACATACAGCTCTTCAAGAACTGGAGGTAATCAGAATTGAGTCAAAGCAAAGGGGAACTCTAACACCTTAGAAAAAGAGCTCATCTTAATCATCAAGGGGCCTTTGGAACTCTAGGTAATGAAATGCAGGTAAACAGACCTGGTGTTGTGGCAGGAGGGAACAAGACCAGGCTGGCACCTTCAGGCTGGTGTTGTCTAGGGTAACTTGGGCGTCCAGTTGCCACCAACCATCAACCATCAACTCTGACCTGCAAATCAATAACAACTTATGATTATCGACGTCACCTGGATACTTTAATTACTTATAAAGTCTTCTCAAATTTTACTAATGTTTTATTGTGTTTTGAATGACTTGGTTTATTCACGTTTATGTCGTGATTCGGAAATTATGTTAATTTTGATAGAAATTTCACTGAAAAGATCAAATGACCTTCGTTAAATGTTGTAAGAAGATTTGAAGTCCAAAAAACAAGAGTGATTTCTGCCGAAAAGCAGAGAGAAAAATTTGTTCATGCAATAAATCTTCGGAAATCAATATGAATATAACGAAAAAAATATATCTCATTGTCAGCAATACTGAATAAATTGAAATTTCATTTACAATATATTTATTAGATATGAAAAAAATTACACTAGGTTAAGGTAGGTAAGGTCAGGTTTCTAAGTGAAGTTTGGTTCAAAAAATAATTTTACTGTGTCAATGTCAATGACAAAAATAGGCCTATCAATCTGCAAAAAAAAAAAAATTGAAAAAGTCCTATTACTGGAACTCAGTCTATTCGACAAGTTCAAATATATATATATATATATATATAAATATATATATTATATATAAATATAAATATATATATATAGATATATATATATATATATATAATATATATATAATATATAATCGTATTATAACTACGAAAGAGTGGTATTTAATGAGTAACAACACTGCGACTAGCCGGGGAATCGAACCCGTGTTGTTTTAGCCCGCCTAATGGTGAGCGAAAATTCCACGACGCTCTAACCCACGGGACCATACAATCTTACAAGAATCACGCACCCAGCAGAGCTAAGTGTTGTACCGTGATCCGAGCACATACCATGGTGTGGCTGCCTCAGAGCTAATTTACCATTTACAATTCACAGTGTGAACTGTAAATGGTACAAGTCGGACCAAAACGTCATCATAAGCTTCTCTCTCCTTTGTGCGGGTTATTTGTGTTTAAGTAATAATAATTTAATTAAGCTAAGCGCCAAACCCAAAGGGGTCATAAAGCTCCCAACAAATGAACTTTTAGATGGATGCTGGACTACAAGAGATATCTAGAGATACACAAGTGTCTTACAGCAACAGTGGAACAAAAAGGCTGCGTAAAATCTAGTGCTTAATTGACTGATTAATTCAGCAAAGTCAGCGCTGAACTGAAGAAGCTAGTTACTAACTTATAAGCTACGAACTTGACTCACGAAATTGTAATAACGCGCTGGCGTGAGAGTTTTAAAACTCGCTTACCACGGGTTCAAGACCCAACAGTTCCCTGATTTACGTTAGGTTAGGAAAAATTTGTCAGGAAACTCTGGCTTACCGATGCACCTCTTTAAAAATTATTTCTATGATTATAACCATTTCAACTATGATTTGGTAAGCTGCAACTACAGTGGAAAGACAGAAAGAACGAGCACAGTGCATTTGGCTTCATGAGCGGGAAGTTATAGGAGCAGATCTTACATCTTTATCACAGAAAGAGGGGAAGGGAAATATCTCTTATAAGGTGGCCGAATGAAGAGAGAAAAGTGGTGGGGAGGGTCATTTAGATTTAGTCCGAGGAAAGAGACAAGAGGCATAATTCCTCTTAATCACGACTTGGTATGACTTGGTATGACACGAATATGCAAACACAGATGAGGTGGCCTTACCTGTGGTGGTTGCAGAGTGTGCAGTTGGTCAGTGTGATGTTGACAGTATTAAAATGAAGCTGATAGTCACAATGGTAAGGCTCATGGAGGCTCAGAAGAGGCTGGGGATCCTCGGGAAAAGCGCAGGTAAGGTAGTAAGGCAGGTGATCGGGTAAAGGGATATTCTGACGGCCGACTGGCACAGCTAAGAAGGTTAGTCCAACAACTCCACTGGTCGCTGTTAACACACTGAACAGCACCTGCAATATATATATATATATATTTTAATAAAAATATATATATATATATATATATATAATATATTATAAAAATATATATATATATATATATATATATATAGGATGGCATATACAGTACATGAGATGTGAGAGATACATGTCTAGTACATATTGTTACGTATTTGTCACTGATTATAATGCGAAAGTCTCATCCAGCTCCTCAGAGCTGGGGTGCGTGCCCAAAATACAGCAGGCATTACTCCTCTGAGCAGCAGCACTGAGTCGCTGGAACAGAAAACTAGCTGCCCTGGGATCCCTAGTTACCCTGTTGAGTCTTTTGTCTAGCTCCTTGAGGAATTTAGATGCACTCTTTTCCCATGAGCCAAGGGTCTCTGAGTCTATGGGAACAAACATATAATGATGGGCAAGTTCTAGGTATTTTCTCGACTTCTGGGACTCCCTGAAGCTGGCGGCTGCCCCTCCTTCCTTCCTGGTGTATTGGAGATAGATATCAGCAAAACTAGATTCAGATATGTAGTCCCACACCACCTGCTTGCCGTCTACCCAGGCTTGAAGGGTGATATCTGGACGCTTTTGGCTGCCATCAGATCTGCATAGTTGGGGTGGCTCCCTTACTGCTGGGCATCCGGCTGTTGTGAGGCTCCTCTTGACAATGTTATTAACCTCCTCATGTCTTGCAATCTTACTCTCGGATTTACGGCACACAAGACGATGGTACCCGAATCGGTCTGCTGCTTCACTGCCACAAATACACCTCTGTTAGGCGAGAATAGGGGCGGCAAGTCGAACGGCAACACCAGTGCGGATGTTTTGTGGGTCGAGGCGTGTGCCAAGGCTGGAGTTGGGAATAGCCAAGAGAAAGTCCCCTGCATGAGGAGCTCTCACTGCCAAGAGGCAGGCTCTATCCTTCCCTAACACACTCTGAAGTTTTCTTGAGGCTATATTCTCCATTATTGGGCCATCCCAGTGTGACTGTTTATATATATACAGATACATATACATATATATATATATATATATATATATATATATATATATATATATATATTATATATATATATATATATATACATACATATATATATATATATATATATATATATATATATATATATATATATATATATATATATATATATATATATATATATTGAGACACATAGGAGAGTCGAACACGGTATGCCCAAACTATTTTGCGTGTTCTCAGTCCCAAAACAAAGTTAAATATTCACTTGGACATGGGGGCAAATAATGCATACTTTCCAAGATATTAGTAGCTTTAAAGATTGACTGAATGAGACATTTGGTCTATATGTTCAGAGTTTATTAAGTGCTCTTCCCGTAACAGGGCTCACAATGATCTGTTTACAGTCGTAGGTGGTGCCATACGGTTTATAAGCTGCTTCTCCGCTCATATGCCGTATTCTATTCCGATCTGTTTACAGCTGATGCTCCCAGGTACCACCACTCATCCATACACATGCATGAGAACGACGCTCAAAGCACTGGTGAACGTGCTCTTCCATACGGCATACAGCATGCATCCTGAACACGTTGCCAAAGTTCCAATTTATTGTCTATATTTCTTAGGTTGGTAGACAGCAACCACACAGGGAGGTACTACCGTCCTGTGGTAGTAGGTTGATAGAGAGCAACCACCCAGGGAGGTACTACCGTCCTGTGGTAGTAGGTTGATAGACAGCAACCACCCAGGGAGGTACTACCGTTCTGTGGTAGTAGGCTGGTAGACAGCAACCACCCAGGGAGGTACTACCTTCCTGTGGTAGTAGGTTGGTAGACAGCAACCACCCAGGGAGGTACTACCGTCCTGTGGTAGTAGGTGGTAGGCAGCAACACACCCAGGGAGGTACTACCTTCCTGTGGTAGTAGGTGGATAGACAGCAACCACCCAGGGAGGTACTACCGTTCCTGTGGTAGTAGGTTGTAGACAGCAACCACCCAGGGAGGTACTACCTTCCTGTGGTAGTAGGTTGGTAGACAGCAACCACCCAGGGAGGTACTACCTTCCTGTGGTAGTAGGTTGATAGACAGCAACCACCCAGGGAGGTACTACATTCCTGTGGTAGTAGGTTGGTAGACAGCAACCACCCAGGGAGGTACTACCTTCCTGTGGTAGTAGGCTGGTAGACAGCAACCACCCAGGGAGGTACTACCTTCCTGTGGTAGTAGGTTGATAGACAGCAACCACCCAGGGAGGTACTAACGTCCTGTGGTAGTAGGTTGGTAGACAGCAACCACCCAGGGAGGTACTACCGTCCTGTGATAGTAGGTTGGTAGACAGCACCCACCCAGGGAGGTACTACCTTCCTGTGGTAGTAGGTTGATAGACAGCAACCACCCAGGGAGGTACTACCTTCCTGTGGTAGTAGGTTGATAGACAGCAACCACCCAGGGAGGTACTACCTTCCTGTGGTAGTAGGTTGGTAGACAGCAACCACCCAGGGAGGTACTACCTTCCTGTGGTAGTAGGTTGGTAGACAGCAACCACCCAGGGCGGTACTACCGTCCTGTGGTAGTAGGTTGGTAGACAGCAACCACCCAGGGAGGTACTACCTTCCTGTGGTAGTAGGCTGGTAGACAGCAACCACCCAGGGAGGTACTACCTTCCTGTGGTAGTAGGTTGTAGACAGCAACCACCCAGGGAGGTACTACCTTCCTGTGGTAGTAGGTTGGTAGACAGCAACCACCCAGGGAGGTACTACCTTCCTGTGGTAGTAGGCTGGTAGACAGCAACCACCCAGGGAGGTACTACCGTCCTGTGGTAGTAGGTTGGTAGACAGCAACCACCCAGGGAGGTACAACCTTCCTGTGGTAGTAGGTTGGTAGACAGCAACCACCCAGGAAGGTACTACCTTCCTGTGGTAGTAGGCTGGTAGACAGCAACCACCCATGGAGGTACTACCTTCCTGTGGTAGTACGCTGGTGGACAGCAACCACCCAGGGCGGTACTACCTTCCTGTGGTAGTAGGTTGGTAGACAGCAACCACCCAGGGCGGTACTACCTTCCTGTGGTAGTAGGCTGGTAAACAGCAACCACCCAGGGAGGTACTACCTTCCTGTGGTAGTAGGCTGGTAAACAGCAACCACCCAGGGAGGTACTACCTTCCTGTGGTAGTAGGTTGATAGACAGCAACCACCCAGGGAGGTACTACCGTCCTGTGGTAGTAGGTTGGTAGACAGCAACCACTCAGGGAGGTACTACCGTCCTGTGGTAGTAGGCTGGTAGACAGCAACCACCCAGGGAGGTACTACCTTCCTGTGGTAGTAGGTTGATACACAGCAACCACCCAGGGAGGTGCTACCTTCCTGTGGTAGTAGGTTGGTAGACAGCAACCACCCAGGGAGGTACTACCTTCCTGTGGTAGTAGGTTGGTAGACAGCAACCACCCAGGGAGGTACTACCTCCTGTGGTAGTAGGTTGAGACAGCAACCACCCAGGGAGGTACTACCTTCCTGTGGTAGTAGGTTGGTAGACAGCAACCAAACAGGGAGGTACTACCTTCCTGTGGTAGTAGGCTGGTAGACAGCAACCACCCAGGGAGGTACTACCTTCCTGTGGTAGTAGGTTGGTAGAAAGCAACCACCCAGGGAGGTACTACCGTCCTGTGGTAGTAGGTTGGTAGACAGCAACCACCCAGGGAGGTACTACCTTCCTGTGGTAGTAGGTTGGTAGACAGCAACCACCCAGGGAGGTACTACCTTCCTGTGGTAGTAGGCTGGTAGACAGCAACCACCCAGGGAGGTACTACCGTCCTGTGGTAGTAGGTTGGTAGACAACAACCACCCAGGGAGGTACTACCGTCCTGTGGTAGTAGGCTGGTAGACACAACCACCCAGGGAGGTACTACCGTCCTGTGGTAGTAGGTTGGTAGACAACAACCACCCAGGGAGGTACTACCGTCCTGTGGTAGTAGGCTGGTAGACAACAACCACCCAGGGAGGTACTACCGTCCTGTGGTAGTAGGTTGGTAGACAGCAACCACCCAGGGAGGTACTACCTTCCTGTGGTAGTAGGTTGGTAGACAGCAACCACCCAGGGAGGTACTACCGTCCTGTGGTAGTAGGTTGGTAGACAGCAACCACCCAGGGAGGTACTACCGTCCTGTGGTAGTAGGTTGGTAGACAACAACCACCCAGGGAGGTACTAACTTCCTGTGGTAGTAGGTTGGTAGACAGGGAGGTACTACCTTCCTGTCAAGTGACTGTGAAACAGAAACTTAAAACTGTTTTACATTATGGTAGGATTGCTGGTGTCTCTTTTCTGTCTCATAAACACGCTAGATAACAGGGATCTTGCTACTTCTACTTACACTTTGGTCACACTACACAGGCATGCACACACACAACACACACACACACACACACACACACACACACACACACACACACACACACACACACATATATATATATATTTATATATATATATATAATATTTATATATATAAAATATATATATATATATATATTTATATATATATATATATATATATATATATATATTTATATCATATACATCAAGGGATTTCTTTTCTTAATAGCTCTTGTTCTTGTTTTTCTTTCTCTTTATTATCCATGGGAAGTGGAAAAGAATCTTTCCTCCGTAAGCCATGCGTGTCGTATGAGGCGACTAAAATGCCGGGAGCAATGGGCTAGTAACCCCTTCTCCTGTAGACATTTACTAAAAAAGAGAAGAAGAAAAACTTTATAAAACTGGGATGCTTAAATGTGCGTGGATGTAGTGCGGATGACAAGAAACAGATGATTGCTGATGTTATGAATGAAAAGAAGTTGGATGTCCTGGCCCTAAGCGAAACAAAGCTGAAGGGGGTAAGGGAGTTTAGGTTGGGGGAAATAAATGGGATTAAGTCAGGAGTAGCTGAGAGAGTTAGAGCTAAGGGAGGGGTAGCAAAAATGTTGAAAGACCAGTTATGGAAGGAGAAGAGGGAATATAAATTTGTAAATTCAAGGATTATGTG